TAAAACATGATTTAATCTTCTTGGGATGGATTCGACTAATTTTTTTGTGATTTCTGGAGTGATTTTACCCCATTCTTCTTGAAGCACCGATTTTAATTGTTGTTTTGAAGAAATGGTGTGTTTGCGAATTCTTGATTCCAATTCTTGCCAAATATTCTCTATGGGATTTAATTGTGAGATTGTGGGGGTGTTTTTATTATTTCAGAACAGTTATACAGCAGCCAGACTCTAACGTTCAAAGCACTGTGCTTGGGGTCATTGTCCCTGGTAGAATTTAAAATTGTTATGTTACGATGGTTCAATTTTCGTTCTGAAGATTTCAAATTTTGATTTAAAATGTCAATATACTTGTACTGATCCATTATACTGTCAATAAAAACAAGATTACCAACTCCAGCGGACGACATACACCCCCATACCATAACTCCTCCTCCACCATGTTTTACTGTTGGCACCAAGTTCTGTTTGCGAAATTCTTCCCTGAATTTCTCCACACCAAGATTCTACCGTCAGAACCAAATATATTAAATTACTCTCATCATCAGCAAATATAACTTCATTCCAGTAATCAGAATTCTTATTTATGTTGGATTTTGCGAAAAGCCAGTCTGAGTTTTTCTATTCTTTTCACTTACGAAGAATTTTTTTCTGGCTGCTCTACCGTGATATCCAGTAGATCGAATTACTCTTCTAATAGTCTCAGAATTAACAATTACTCCATATAATGCTTGTAAATCAGCAGAAACTTTAGGAGCACTCATTCTTGGATTTTTTTTTTTAATATTTCGAACGATAATTCGCTTTATTCCATTGGATAGCTTTGATGGTCGGCCAGGTCTTCTTTTATCCGGAATCATATGATTCTTTTTATATCGTTTAATGATATTGAAAACTGTTGAATGACTCAAGTTAACTGTTTCAGTAGTTTCTCTAATAGATTTTCCACGTTCAATATGCAAATTAATAACTAATTTTTTCGAATTCCAGGCAAAGTTTCTTTTCGTTTAGCATTCATGGCTGCACAGAGCTAAAAACACAAAAATTCCAAAACAAACTGGACAGAAATACTGCAGACGATTTTATAAATTATTGGCAATTGCTTTTGAGTAAAAATAAAATACCCCAAAAGATATTTTTATTGCTTACTTCAGACGATTTTGTTTGCATAGTACGTAGTGTCCCATCAACTTAAGTGAACCATTTTCTGCTCCGTTCTAAACAATTGTATTTTTATTAAATTAAATTTTTAATATTTTGAGAAAATGTATGTTATGTAATAATTGTTACTAAATTTAAGTATGAAAACGCACCCACAAAAAATTTTACATGTTTTTTAAATTTACTTTTTTGCAGTTTCCTTTTGTAAAGCACAAGTGCCCCATCACTTTTTTGAGACACTGTATAAGTTGTTCAAGAACAAACGCGTTTACTTATGCCATGTTACGTGAGGCTGCATATATCAAGAATAAAATAAATGTTTAATCTGCCTTGATGATTACTTTTGAAGCTTTGATTGCTTGATCATTATCCTGATTCGACAAATGTATATAATTATATATTATTACAAAGATTTTTGCTATTTCCGCAAAAGATTTTCTCCGGCTGTTATTCTCACAACCGCTGTCGTAGACATAAACATTAAATTACAAAAACGAGGCGAAATGTTTGAGCAGCATATGTTCCATACCATAGGGAACACGATAATTTGGATATAATTTCGATTTAAATGTAAATAAAATCAGTATTATGAAGGATTTGTCTTGTGTCTTATAGTATGGGGCATATGCTGCTAAAAAGTTTCGGATGACGAAAATATTCATGTTTTGTATTTTTTAATTAAAAAACATCCAGTTGGTAAAACATAACGAAATCTAACTTTATTTATTTATTTATTTATTATTATTATTTTTTTGCTATGTAGACTTACATTTAGGAAAATATTGTACTCGTTATAAAAAATGAACCACACAGGTTTTGACTGCTGCATGATAAAAATATGCCAAGACATTCAGTTTTAAATCTTACGATTTTTTAAGTCATATACCATTTGCATTTGGGAGTCACTTCATAAATAAATTAGAATACGTCGGGACTGATATTTCCCCCCTTAAATATTATTGCGTGCTTACGGGTTCGTATTAGGTTGAATTAACACATATTCGATTAGAGATTAATAAAATTTATTTTTATCAAAAGAAATAACTCAGAGCTCTGGAATTTTACACAGAAATATTCATACAAGTGTTCATACACAGTACAATCAGTAGTTATACTTCAAACTACAGAACGTTAAACACAACGCAATGCGAAGGGAATCTAAAGAGAAAGCTAATCCTATCTCAGGCTGAATTAACAACAAGTAAGAGCAGATGCTCTCTCTCCGGCCTTATATAGTTTTCAACCAGCCGCGGAGATATTTTTAGTATTTTTAGTACGTTTCACTTCTCGAAATAACTACCAATACGACCAATACGAGGGTGGAATTACGGTTACAGCTAACACAGTTGTCAATTACATTTATTCAATTTCAATACATATTAGGGTGATACAAGAACCGGACCAAAATGTCGCCCAGTCTGGCGAATTTTCGCCAAATTTGGCGAAAAATAAGTCGACAAAACTGTTGTCAGCTTGGAGATATCTTGCCAAATTGCCGAGATACTCATTTACTCAATGCTAAATGCACTTGCTCCTGTATTCTTACTTTTCTGGCACAGCTCGTCTCTTAAGATTTTTCATGTTACATTCATTACGCAGCAAACTATAACAATTTTGCAAATGATTGCACTAAAATCACCTGAGTACAAAATTCGTAACAATATCATTCAATAATATTTTTTTTTTTTTTTTTTTTATTTACGAGGGCCTTTTCAATGATATTATTTTTTAATTTACGAGTGTCTGTAATTTATATTTTTGTTACGTTTTGTCTCCGGAAATCATTTTTACACAAATTATTTTTCAGTTTTTAAAATCTAAAAGTACACTATTAATATTCCCATTATCTTTCATTTTTATTTAATGGAAATAGTATTAGTAGTTGGCTATGTGACAATGCTGAAACTTGCAAATGTTTTATAGAACGCTTAGTTCCTAGAAAGGTTCTGTAAATATGATCGCCATTTTAAAAGATAAATATGTGATATGGACATCACATGACTTCCTTGTACGGGATATTAAGCTATACACATTTTTTGCTGCACTTCATTTAAACTTTTTTTTTCGAATTATAGTAGAGATATAGGTCTCATTCAATCAGTTCAGGTCTCATTACAGAAAAACCTAATATACCAAACCCAGTTAAGAGACAGGTAAGAAAAAGATTTTTAAAATTAAAAGTAAAGTTGCTCGGCCAAAACAAACATTTCCGTCAGCGGGTAAGAAGACCAAATTTTGGTGCACAAAACTGAAAGTTAACTTCTGGTCCCATTGGGCAAAAAGTCTCGAAAATTGGTGCATCAACTGACTTAGTTCACTATTATACTAAGAGTTTCAAATGTAAACAAATGGCCGCCTCATTAGGCTTAGTACGACATAAACAGCTTTTAAATTATTGATAATTCTGTAACTATTGCATGCAGATTAAGTAAAAGCATAAGAACAAGGTAATTCTATCACTTTTAAATCTAAAAAATATACAACTTACCAGCATATAAGAATAAAAATACTGAGGTCACTGAGTCGGGTAGCTGTTTGGGAATACATTTATCTAGATATATGTTTTGTGAGACCAATTTCAACGAAAATATAACATGCACAACTACATATTATAGCAGTTCCATATGCAAAATTTCGGTATTCTACGGTTACTCGTTACTGAGTTATGAGAGGGAGGTACATATATACGTACGTACAGACGTTACAAAAACATATCTTTTAAATCCATCTTACAATCCATTTGGGGAGAACTAGTACTTTGTTCTGTTCATACGTACAGATGCTACTCAAAAACATCGTTCAAATGGATTCCAGAAGAGTCAAAATGAATATGATATTCCAAATTTTTTCGATAGCAATAACTTTCTTTTCTTCGTACAAAGAAGTAAAAATGATATGGATTAATACTTTTCACAATAATTTGCAGAAAAATGCTCGTTCATTAGCTTCTTAACGTGACAATACTTTTTTTAAGAAGATATTTTATATTTATTTATACGCAGATGCAAACAATTCCCTCTTTAATTCGTGCGCGGCCCTTAAACATGATCCCAAGTTTAAAGCCAAATATCTTTGTCAATTTGTAATTTTCTGAAGTATAAGTATAGAAACCGTGGGAGCGTATGAAAAAGACTCGGTTATTTTATATAAAATTAGGATTTTTAAAATTAAACATACAAAAATATGAATCTTATACGTACACGTACAAAAATACAGCGTCATTTAAAATACTTTTGTACTAGTTGAAATTTCATGTCTGATATCAACAACTGCAAAAATAAATGCAGGACAAGGAATTTAAGGATGGTATATAAATAATATAAAAAATTAAATACATGTGGTAATACCTTCTAGAAAAGACGTCTAAGAAACTACTTGAAAGAACAGCACGTTTAGTTACATTAAAAGTATTTACATTTTTATTAAATTAGTTATAAACTCAATTAACTTCTTCAATACATTTTTATTTATGTCTCTATCGTCGAAGTTCTTTTACTGCATCTTGAGTCCAACTCATCTAATTGCCAACTCACAAAACGAAAAATAAAACATTAAAAGAATTATACGATGATCAATCTGTACGCCATCTGGTATTCAAGATTGGCACTACATACATATTATAGAATAATAAATGTGTTACACGACAACAGATTAATTTTTCTGTAAGCTCGTAATAATAATTCAAATACACAACAAAATCAAAATTAAGATTTAGTAACCGGAAGATTATTCTATACCTAGCATCGTAATAACATCAAATTACCATTTTCAAATTGAGATAAGTAGTTATATTAAAACATTTATTTAAAAGGATTTTTCAAAAATAACTTCGCTGGACTTACCTATTGTACACTTAAGCATGGCGACAGCTCTTCGAATCTAATACTGTTCAAATATCTTCACGGTTTTCCCGCGCTTATCAGGCAAAGAAGCAAAATAAAGCGCCTGTTTATGATCTCAGATAAGCCAAAATACGAACTGATTTATTCTTAGCAGTTGCGCAAAGCCAGCGAAGAAAGTTATTAAAAAAATAGCGGCTGTAAGCGAAGGCGAAAAATCTCGTAAATTATCATATATGCACTAAAGGAAGTAGTTTTTAAAATTAAAAAAATGAAAACTCTCAAGGATTATTTGAATGTCAAACTACACCAAGCAAACGGTTGCTTTCATCATGTGTGTCAAGGCGGTGACAAGCTGTCCTCGAATGGTTTTGTCTGCAGCGATGTCTGCTCGCAGACACGCATCAGAGTAATTAGAAAATTAATATTTGCTTATTGAATGCAAGATACGCAAAACAGAGAAATGTCTTCCGGGAAACGCTGCAAAGGAATTAGGCCACTTTTCTTGTTTTACAAAGTTCCGTTTTAATCTTCTTTTGCAATCGTACGGAGAAGCATTTTACGTCAGCGCTGTTAGGCAGAGCTTTTCACGAATGCTTGCAAGTATGAGTATTCCTTTGAATGTTTAGTAATAGATTCAGTTTCATTTTAAGCAATGAACAAAATAAAGCAGAGCTTTCAGATTTTGATAATATTGGTTTAGAATATACGAGTTTTAATAAAATATATATTTATATCGTCCTTGTAAGAATGACAGCAAACGAAAAAAGGTTTTCTATATTCGAATTAGTAAAATAAAATACGAAAGCTTTCAGATTTTATATTAGGCCCAAAGGGGTGTTTTTTTTTAAGGTATTGTGTGTTATCTGTATTTATTACATATCGTTTTCTTCTCAGTTAAACCATAAAATTCAATTTAACAGCAATATCACAAAGCAATTTAAAAAGAGCATATCTTTAGAGTTTTCGATACTCAGCTTCGCGTGCTGGAGATTAATTTTTTTTTTCGTACAGTGATGCCATTGCTGTCTTTGAAATCGCCAAGTTTGTTAATAAAAAATTTGTTAATGTTTTACAAAATACGAAATAGATAATAATAAAAAAAAATTACAAATTTGGGCTTCCAGATGTCCATATTAGAGTGGAGGACTGGATTATTCCAAATTAGATGTCCCTAGGTATCGTTGCTTTTTCACAATGCGAGAAAAATACATATATTCATACAAATTCTTCATTATTTAATTTCTTTAAATATAATGCATGTCTCTAATAGTATTTAGTGGCAACAATTTGAAAAGTGAAACGCCGTTTACGGTGAACTAGCGCAAAATGCCAAAACAAAATGAATATCCCTTCTGAGCTAACACCCTTTGAGTTTAAAAAAAAAAAAAAAAAAAAAAAAAAACTTTAATTAAAAAAGAAAATCCTCGGTAAGGTTGGAATTTTAACGTCGTAATAGAGGATATAGTATTAGGGATATTTCTGTTCTCTCCGTGAGCATCACAGATTTCCCATGCGCTGTTGGACACATTCCAGCTAATGCAATTGTTCGTTTTTCTAGATTTGCTATAAGCATCGTTTTCTTCGCATCTTACACCAAACAAAATTCAACAACAAATTCAACAAAGTTTTTAAAAGCAGTACATGTTAAGAATTTGTGACAGACTATTAAGTTTGGGCATACAATTCTCAGTCCAAAAGGGACTGTTAACCTCGAATGGGATTATGCGTTGGTTGATAAAAATAGTGCATCATTTTTTAAACTTTTACCACCAAATATTATAGCTGTGTATTTTCTAGCGAAATTAAAATAATGAAGAATCTGCATGTATGTATGGTCCTCGCACTGTGAAGAAAACGACGGTACCTAGAGCTATCGTGCATCTAGAAGCCCGAATGTAGAGTTTCGATTATTATTTATTTCATATTTTTAAAAAATTTAATGAATTTTTTGGTTAACAAATTGAACGATTTAAGGGGACTCATAAATCTTAAAACCCATAAGATCTTCGAATATGGGACTGTTGCAAGAATTAGGATAACTTATTTATTTTAAAAGCAATTACTTCCCATTTTTTAAAGATGATTACATAATATAGCTGCTTTCTGAAATAGTCATCAGAAAGTTTGTGTTGCCTCAAATATTTTTATAATTCATCCGCTTTGTGACAAAATGTTTTGTCATGTTTCCGCCTCGCGCGTACAATTTAAAACATTCTGTTGCATAATTTAATTCCATACTTAATATAACGTTTGGTTCACAGTAATTGGAAACTACTGTGAACCAAAAGTTCTAAGAATTTCATGTTAAATTTTTATTTTATTTGGAGTTGAGTTTGTAAAATGTATTTTATTAAAAAATCTGTAATGTTTTCGTAGATAAAATTTTTAATATTAAAATATTCATCAGAATTTTTGGTTCAGTTAGAAAATAGTGCCCATATAAAGAATTTCATCAAATTTCAGGTATGTACCATTTCTAAAATATCAGGCGCCCAAGGTGAAAAGTTTGTGACAAACGTTTGTCACGCCCAAGGTCACGAAAAATTTTGTCACAAAGCGGATTAAATTACGAAAATATTTGTGGCAACACAAACCTTCTGGTTACTAGTTTCCAAAGCAGCTATATTATGTACTCAGATGTAAAAAGTTGGAATTAATTGCTTTTAAAACAAATAAAATATCTTAATTCTTGCAACAGTTACATATTCGAAGATCATAAGGGGTTTAAGGTGCATGTGCCCCCTTAAAAGAGAGAAGTGACAACACTGTTCGCAATAAAACATTTTTCTCTACAGCACGTGAGACTGTTGTCATTCTTCAAAATGTAAGATATTATTAATCGTCCAATTTCAGTAAACAAACTGGACTCTATAAAAGCAATGTACCAGCGTGTTTTCTTTCAGTAAAGCTTAAGATCTTTTCAAGTTTTGGAAAGTTATTAGGTAATAAACTAGCGATTAAAAGCAATAAACACGGCCTTAAGCATGTGTCTAAATAAAAATATTCAGCACTTTTAAGAAACTGCACATGTTGGACTCATTAAAATCATTATATACTTTTTCGATTTTATAATAAATATTTTACGCGGCTGGCCGCACGAACGGCTAAAAAGAAATAATATAGCGATATATAAAAGTTTCCTATAGGGACATCTGTAATGTATCGGTAATACTAAAGATATGCTGTTTTTAAATATTTTGCTGATGAATTTAATCGTACGTGGGGTAAGCGCAAAGAACATGATATTTGATAAATAAAGTTAACACATAAAAAGTTACTAATAAAACGAGAGGAAACAGTTTTATCTGACAGCAAGAGCTTCTCTATTCTAGAATTTAAGTGCGTTCTGATTACGTTGTTCTGCCTGAAATGATGAGCAGACTGAATTAGTCACGCTCTTTAAATTTTTCGGTTGTGTTTTATGTTGTCTGTTACGACGTTCTAGTCAAAGATGGTGTTAGAAGAGCTACAGAATCATTGGTCTTTCAGCCTTCCTGGAAATTGAGCTGATTACAGCCTTGAAATTACGACTGTTGTAATTTTAAGTGGAGACGTTACTGAACAAGTTATTGCTCCTGCATATTGACACAGCACGTCGTCTCACCTCGTCGCAGCACGAAGACTGAGGACTGCACATATGAATTTCTTATCTTTGTGTGGTCCGCCACAAAATATCGTAATTCAAACTGGGTTGAATCAGCGGGCACCAAAGAAAAGAAGAGTGATGAAGAATAAGAGTCATCAACATCACTTAGTGTGAGACTAAAGGGTGAGATTCAGTGCATTTTTAAAATTTGCCAAAACAATCTATAATACATAATTTTAAAGAAGTAACAAATATTCATATTCTAAATTTTCAAGAACGATTTTACGAAGCAGACATTCGAGCTATTAGTTGGAAATATTTCATGCACAGAAAATACTTATTAGGGCCGTGTTAACGTGTGGGGTAGCTTGGACACTCGCCCGGCGACCCCTTGAGCATACAAACCTCCTTCGCTAATCCATCCATATTACATTTCTCCGAGTGATTGCCGGGCCACCAGCGGCCAAGCGGTAAAATCGCTGAACACTGGTAGTTCGGTCCGAGGTTCGAATCCCGGGGACGGGCTGGCTGCATGGACGTTTTCGTGGTTTCTCCCATGTGTAACGTGTATACGTGCCAGTTTCTCTTAGAAAGTCCTCCAGGAATGCATCCCTCCCTTTTAGGCAGAGAGCCTTAGTGTGCTTTGCCGTATTCTCAATAAACCAAACCGAGTGACTGCCATAGGAGCTCCAGCAAACTCGGTTTGTCCAGGGACCTATAGTGCTGTTAAAAGGGAACCGGAACTGATGACTCCAAAAGCTGAAATATTATTAAACTATGACTTAATTTATTTAATAATAAGTTTATTCGTTAAATGTGTTTGCAGAACTGCAACAGTTTTCATTTATCAGTGCGCCCAATTAGGTCAAATATATATGTTACGCCATTCTGCAATTTTAATTCGATAATAATACATGTCAGGCTGCAGCCAGCAAAATGCATCTAGCAAGCAACCAAAATGAAACTAAATACACGCCATGTGGTAACAACAGCAGTCCCTATTTTGAAATTGGGAATTACAAATTTGAAACTATTAGCAAATTTAAATATTTAGGATCAGAAGTTAATACTCTCAATGATTTAATGCCCGAGATCCGTAGTAGAGTCACAGACGCTAACCGATGTTTTTTCGGTCTCAAAAATACTAGAAGTCTAACTTCACTAGCAGAAACACAAATATTTTAATTTACAAAAGCTTAATCAGACCCATTCTTAGATACTCTGCTGAGACCTGGGCAATGACAGAAAAAGCTAAAAGTATCATTTCTGTCTTTGAAAGAAAAATTTTGAGAAGTAGTTTTGGTGGCATAAAATGTAACAACATCTGGAGAAGAAGAACTAACTCTGAACTCTATAAATCCTTTAAAGAAATAGATTTAGTAAAATATATAAGGATTCAGATAATTAAAGGGCAGGACACCTGTGCAGAATCGATGAAATTCGAGCAACTAAAAAAGATCTTCTCGGCCATACCATTCGGCACCCGAAAAAGAAGGAGACCTAAACTTAGGTGGCTCGACTGTTTGGAAGAGACTTAACAGTTTTAAAAATAACCAATTGGATGTCCAGGGCCAGGGATAGAAGAGCTTGGAGTTCGATTCTGAGGAGAGCAAGGGCCCATCCTGGGCTGTCTGGCCATTGAAGGAAAAGAAGAAGAATACATCTCTGTTGTCTTGAGTGTAAAAGGTTATTGAACTTTGGCTGTATGTCCGAAATGCTGCACAG